GTGCATTGTGTTATTCATAGGGAAAACCTGGCAGTTTAAAACATTTCGCCTGTTCGATATCAAGTACTAAATTTAGTTATAAAGTGTATCAATGATATTAAAGCTAGCTCCAAATGTGAACGTCTCTTCAAGTTATTTTGTTAAGAACAACATGAAGACTATATGAGACTTATACTTCATACTGACGAAAGATTGCTGTCGAAAGAAAACTGCTTTAAAAGATTTATGGAACTATCTGATATTCGTAGCTATTTTTTAAGCGACAAACCAGAAATGAAAAATCTGTTAACGGTTGATAGTAAAGCATTTGTGAGATATTTAGCCGATATCTTTGAAAAACTAAATATATTAAATAAACAACTTCAAGGAGCAAATAAAACTCTTGTCGATGCAAAAGCGAAGATATTTGGTTTCATTAGCCTTATTGAATTAGGTCAAGCATATATTTACAGCAAACATTGTGCAAAGTTTCATTCCAAAAATCTGAAATAACTGATACCGCTACGCATATTATTTGTTGATCATACCCCTATGGATGTTACTGTCGATCATCTGAAATTTTATCAGCTGATTTAAAGAAAAGTTTTCTGAATTGACAAATTGGTTTCCCAACTTGGATGATGCAGCCAATGCTAGTGGATTTGGCTGATATTTTAAATACGCAGTATCAAGAAGAATTCATAGAAATGCAAAATGATGAGTTAACTTCATTTAATATGAAAGGAGCGATGATATAGCTTTGTGAGGAAACCGAAATAAAATATCAAAATGAAAAAAAAATGTGCAAGAGAACTATTGTTACCGTTTCCATCATCATATTCACCTGAATGTGAATTTCCATAAATAATTTGCTGCTAAAAATAGAAATCGGCTGTATATAACAAAACAGGCGGACTTCAGACTGAAATTAACTAAATTGGAACCTGACATAAAAATCTCTTCGCTTTATAAGATATTTTTCCCGCCTACTTGGAATGCCTAGTAGTGTGGTGGTCTGCACGCTCAGCGCGTAATTGAGAGGTCAGTGGTTCGATTCCCGGGGAGGCGTTGCATACTTTTCAATTTAAATGCTTCCAAAAAATACCTAATGTCTCTACAGCTTCAAGCATCAGGCGCAAGGATCTCATTAAATTAAAAGAATAAATAATTACTGATACTTAAAATAATATAGAAAAAACGTTCATTCAAATTATTTTGTACTTGAATTTCAGTTCTCTGTTACATGTTTTTAAAGTTTACTTACTGTGTTTGCTCCCAAATTTTCTAGTGATTTCTTCCTAAAATCTATCAATCAAATTTCTTTCATCAAAATTTCAGTTTTCGAATATTAAAAATTATGTATTTGCTAGGAGGAGCATAAGAATTTTAGAAAGAATTAGGTGGAGCATAGCAAAAAAACAAAAGTTGGGAAAACCTGATCTTTACTATTAAAACCTTTGCGCGTATGTCTCTTTGTTTGTGACATCATCTCCTCCGGAAAGGTGGGGAGTTGAGTTTCGAGATAAGTATCCCCGTATTCTAAATACTCATGGGAAGCCATTTCGAAAATTCCTATCTTCGTTCGACTTTAATCAGCCGATATCTTAATTAGAAACTTTGAAAACGTTAATTCTCGTACTGAATTTCAGACTGGCAACAGTCTCGCTCACTGGAGACAAAATTCAAGGTCATATTCTGACGCTGAAAAAAAAAAAAACTTGTTTCATGTGACGTCATTGCATCACGAAAATATTTCGTTAATGTGAATATTTTAAATAAATAGGTGCTGTTGGCAACTTTTGTTGTTTCAGATTACGATAACTTACACGATATGTTATTGCTACGTTAGTTCTTTTATTGATATTAAGAAAATGTGTTTATATTATAAGAAAGTTTTTGTTCCCAGATTTAGGGCCCACCAGCGGCCGAGCGGTAAAGTCGCTGAACACTGGTAGTTCGGTCCGCGGTTCGAATCCCGCGAACGGGCTGGCTGCATGGGCGTTTTCGTGGTTTTCCCCATGTGTAACGTGTATACGAGCCAGTTTCCCTTAGAAAGTCCTCCACGAAAGGCATCCCTCCCCTTAGGCAGATAGCCCTCGTGTGCTTTGCCATAATTAAATACACACGTTCCCAGATTTAGCAACAAAAAATTATTTATGAAATGGTTGTTGCTTAAAAAGAATGAACTGATTTCATTCATATTAAAATGATTTAGTGCATTTTCTTTTCAGGTGCACACAGAAGTATAAATTTTGCTTTGGCCGCAGACTTGTTATCTGGCAGGCTTGCCTACTAGTTGCCATTAAAAACGAACGGAAGAATTTAAAATCTGACATAAAGCTTATTCAAAGATTTGAACATACATAATTTTGTAATTTTTAATCGTACTTACAAAAGAAAATAAGTGCATTCAGTTACAAATTCCTGTAATTTACTTTGTTTGGGAATACATTTATATGTGGACAACATTAATTTGCAATTGAAAATTAATAAGCCCAATTTACCAATGAATAACTACAATCGGTGATTTCTAGTAATTTCTTTGTAAGGCTACAATTTTTATCAAAACTGAAAAACTATCAAGTCTCAAGTTTCAGTGAGAAATAAAGGAAGTTCGTTACTAACGCATAAACATATTTGCTCTATGCATGGACAAAAATAATAAATATGAGGAAAAAATCTGGATTGTCATTATTTATTCCGAAGTTTTGTCCCACCTTGAAAGTTTTCTTCAAAATTTAGGAATTTAGGAAGCTTTCATAATTTGCTTATTTTTAGCTTAAATTAAAGTTATTTAATGATTAATTCAACGTATTAAATCTGTTTGAAAAAAATCTCAATCTGAAAATTTAATATTTAGTTATCAATATATTTTAATTACAAAATGTAATAAAAATATCTTACAACTACTAAACATTATACAGACAGAAATTAATCATAAATTTGAATTTTTCCTTTGCAATATTATTATTATTTTTATAAACTTTGGCAAACATTTGTAAGTTAAATTAAAAATTTATAAAAAAAAGTTTTTTGTAAAAGAAAAGTTTTACTTTGTTAAGGGAAAAAATAATCTGAGTCATCTGCTGTTTTTAGATTGTGCATTCAGTCAGCATGTAGTTGGAGTTAGAGCAAAACAAAACATTAATTTTGAAATAGAAGAATATATCGGAAATTTCATTGGGTCTTTTTACCCTTCAAGGTTTAACCTGTTCTTGTTTCAAAGGCATTCTTCATGTTTGATTATGTAAGATATGTATTAAGATGGCGCGATGGATAGCATGTATGGGTTTAATTGCACTTTAGACGTAAAAGATGAATGATGAACACACATACATGTCTAATCATGAAAAACACAGTTAATAGTTTTTTTACTACCGGTAAAGAGGTGGGAAGGTTGAATATGATCTCTTTACAGCATTATGTCTATCAGTAGATACTTGAAATACATACAGCTACGATTCAGCACATTGGTACACGGTAGAAACTTGCCGATACCGCATCTCCGCATTCCAAACAGTTTGTGCTGTCGCTACCACCACAGACACTGATGTACAAGAAAATAGCAAAGGCTGGCAAAAATATTCACCAGCTTTTTCTGATTTTTCCTAAAGATGTCTGCGAATTAATTAAGAAATGACATTTTTAGCCTTAAGAATTCTGTTGTGTCCAACCTAGGAGCATATATTTCTGTTTGTCTTTTTGTACTTGTATAAGAGTCATCATGGGCGAGTGCATAAAACTATTGAACATTAGTAGTTCGGCACAATTCCGATGGTGAATAGGTGATTGCATGACGCTTTCCATGGTTTTCCGCATGTAGAACATGAATACGAAACTTATGTGCCAGATTGCCTAATTTTCGGGACTGACTTCAACTAGAGCGTAGTTTTTCAAAGTTTAACTAAAGTTATAAGGTATTTTCCCCGCCTTCTTGGCATGCCTTCGTGATGTGGTGATCTGCACACTGGGTGCGTATTCCAGAGGATCGTGGTTCGATTCCCGGCGGAAGCATCGCTCATTTCTCATCTTTCCTGCTTAGAAATGACTTAATATCTCTACAATGGTGACCGAATTAAAAGGGTGGTGAATGATAATTCTCCTCACTAAGAATTTGGCGATTGCGTCCCCTAAAAGCTCCAGTCCCTGTAAAAAGGGAAGTATATAAGGTATTTCTCCCGCCTTTTTGGCATGCCTTCGTGGTGTGGCGGTCTGCACGCTAATCGCATATTCCAAATGTCCGTTGTTCGATTCCCGGTGAAAGCACTGCTAACTTTTCATCTCTCCTGGTTTCAAAAAAATACCTAATGTCTCTTAGTCAACTACAGTATAGTTATTTCTATAGTTAGAATAGAAATAGTCAAGTCATCTAAGGAACTAAATCTAGATAGAAAATGGAATTATTACTGTATTCGAAGTAAATAAGCTAAGAACTTTATATTGCTAGAGCAAAACATGTTGGTTTGGATTTTGAATAAGACAGAGTTTGCCCCTTTATTTCAGCATTCACCAGGTTTTTATTTATTCTTTCGGTGAATATGACATATTTCGAACCAACAGCATTGTCTCTGAAAGCGATGTATATGCTTCTCTTGGACTGATGCATGCAATTTTTAAATTTTAAATGATTTTTTTTTTTGTTGAAGATGATTAAAGAAATATGATCGAAAATTCGTAAATAAACGAAAAATATTATACTTTGCAGAGTGGCAGCATCAAAAAGTTACTTGAAAAAACTTTACTATAAAATGTAACAAGTTGAATATTTAAGATGAAGTGGATTATATTTTTGTACGTTTAAAGTTTTAAATAACCACCGGTAATATTGTAAAAACGGATTTATTTTTTTTAAACCTAGGCTTTGTTTTAATTATCTTTATATACTGAAATAACGACAAACTGTGAGGCTCACCACACACACACACACACACACACACACACATATATATATATATATATTTTACACATATATAAACAGCATAGAAAATAGAATGAAGTAAAAATGGTTACTGCATCTTTAAACAATTTTATTTTAGCACAATATTTATGGACAGTATTAAGTTAAATTCTTACAAAGCGAAGTTTTTTAATCACACTTTAACATAATATTTGTATTTCAAAAACCGCTATACTTCGAATTGAAATTTCACTTTGTATTCACATTTCTAAAACACAAAAGTAAGGGGCAACATAAATTAAAATATAATAATTTATTACCTTATCTCTACACATGTCCCACTTCCCATCGATTCGTTTTTTGCTAAAATTTATTAAACTATTTTAATGACTTAAATGGCACTGATAATGATGTGCTTTGGTGCAATGGCAAAAAGAAGAATTCAAGTTCTGAAAGTACTGAAAGACATACTGTATTTGAAAAGATTCTCTATAATTATGTGGTTTGTTATATTCATATCACTACCTATTTAGGTAAATATATTTCTTATTTTTCAATATGTTTAGTAAAATTATGTTTCATTTCATTATTTTTCAGGTTTTATAGTATAATATGTTTTTGGGCTTAATCTCGAAGTCATTTTGTAAACTTCAGCAATAGTTGCAGATGAAGCAGAGAAGGAATTTTCTATCTCCTCTTCAATATTCATAATACAATAGGGAAATGAAGGCTTAGTTTTCAAGTAAAGCTTCAAAGATCCTTCGATTTGCTTTGAATATGCATCTAACTCAGAATAAAACCCCATCCTCAGGCATATGGTGTTAGCGCAAGACAAGCATATACCAAAATCATATGCTCGCCAGCTGTAGCAACTCGTGGACTCAAAATAGCAGCCGTAGTTATATAAACTTGCAATGAAATATTCGTAAGCTCTGTAATGGCTGCAAGACAATTTTCTGTGATCCTCCTCTAAAACAAATAAAAATACAAAAGTTTAAATTAGACTGAAAATTTGAAAAAAAAAAAAAAAAAAAAAAAAAAAAAAAAAAAAAGCTTTTTTTCTAAATTTCATTATCCAGAGTTACATTATGAGTTCTATTCTCCACTTACCTCATACTACTTCTGGATTGTTAAATGTTGTACATACATCATAATACTACTTACTGATTGGATTGTTATTTTGTGTATTTTTTGTGATATTTTGTATCGTTTTATTTTTTCTTGGTTTGTTTGTTTAATTTTTTCTTTTAGGATAATAGTTTTAGGGTTTATTTTGCGTGCAATCGAGTTTTTAGCCACATGTTTTGGATATAATTGCTTATTTCTTGCATAGATGCAAAGACGTTAAATTTTGGAATCGGAAAAACGTGTAAATGATTAAAATATATCAACTAGAATGCAAAATATGAGCAAAGAGAGGCATCGGCGATAATTTTTGTCGCCACGTTAACGACAGAGCTGGATATCTGGTCAATTTGACAATTCCGTGGATGTTTAAAAAATACTTTTCGAAGCTCTAGAACGAATTTTCTGGGAATTAATGGATTGAATGCACAACATAACCACAATAGAATGACAAAATTTATTTTTTCAAAAGAAACAATTTACAATTAGTACTTTTCACAAAAGTTTTTGTATATTACTATATTTATATTTTTTACTGTTTGTGCTCTATCTTCTTGGTAGGATAGAGCACAAACAGTAGTTACCACTTTAAACTACTAAGAACGTTAAACACAAAACCTCAATGAAGATAGTTTACCAAGAGGGCTGTTATACAAAATCTGTTTTGTAAATCATCAAAAACGATTACAATCAGAGGCAGTTTAAACTGGTACTTGAGAAGCATCAGAAGAAATGTTACAAAAATCTCAAAATCTAATATAAATTTTACCTTTTGAAAATGGAAATTATTTTCCCGATTGGTTGTCTATTTTGGTCACATTATTACCTTCGCCGTATCGCGGTTATCACTATTCTTAATCGTTATCACTCTCAAAATGTGTATCAATTAAGAATCTTTCTCGGTTTTCTGCCCTTACTGTGGAAATTTTCTTAAACTTTTTAATGTGTTCAGAAGAGAAACTTTAGACATTGTAAAAGTTGTAGAGAATTCCCATTACTATCTTATGCCTCATTAACTTGTTTGTTTTCTAAACTTCCTCAGACTGTAAAACTAGATGGATACAGCAGTTGCAAAAATACGAAACGGAAACTCAACATCGAAAATACATTTCGCTCAGAATTGTTAATGCATTTATGATAGGGCTTATTCGAGAAAAATGCAAACACAAATAATAAGCCAACAAAAAATATAGATTGAAGTTCTAGTGGTCAGACAAATCAACACACAGTCTGATGATAGATATTATAGTCTGATGACAGACATTATTGTCGGATGCCTAAAGCTTCGAGGAACTCATAAAGGTCAAAATGGAACATTCGGAATAGAGACCAAAAATGATATAATGAATAGAAAACCCACCTCGTAAAAAATATCACTTTTTGCCAGACCACGAAACGATATTGGCTTAGGAGATCTTCCCTGCAAGATAGAATTGTCTACCGCAGATGGGATGCCGATGATGAAACTTTCAAATAGACACTCATTTTGCAGAGATTTCGGGTTCCTAATGTTACGTTAGAAATTCACAAATGTCTTACTGTAGGTCATTTTGGTGTAAAGCACACGCTGCGAAACGTTAGTGAACCTTTCTTCCGGAACAAGGCCAAAGAAGGTGAAGAAAATTAGTATACAGAATTTTGATGGATGTGGAACTCAAACACTTCCTTAAACAAGAACACAAGGAAATTTAAAGCGCTACTATGTAGAATCACCATTTGAAAGAAATCCCCCCCCTCCCAAATATTCTCGCGCTATAACTTGAAACGGTAAGAGAGCCAAATATATCTTGTTTGTCACGAAGTACATACATTTTGTTTTTCATGAAGTAAGTGGCTAGAAGTATATGTTCTGATATAAAAGAGGGTTTCTTGAATGGACTGTATTATTTTCTCTGAGCAAGGAGAGTATTTCGCATCTGCCATATTTAAAGGACTGTGTAGAGCTTTCAGTATTGAAAAGATTCAAAGATCTTCTTTACATCCACTCTCTAACGATGCTGTAGAGATATTTAAGAGAAAAACATTTTACCATCTCTGTTTTTCGTGTCCCAAACGCCACTACGATGCCATTGTTTTGTTAGCTTATAGGAACACCGTTCATGAGAACTCTGCATTTTAGTAATTAGAAATGCTCTTTGGACGACCGACGAATATGAATTTCATATCTGAGGAGTACCTGGAAAATTTGGAAGCTTGTTCAGAAGATGTTCATCGGTTTGCCATTGGAAGGATGTATACAGAGACCAACAGGATAAGAGACCAGACACGATGCCAGTTTGAAGAAGAATAAACACAAAAAAGGAACCTTAAGCATTGGTGAGGTATCTTCACAAGATATATAGAAATACTCTGAGGAGCCCTGCTGTAAATCAAGAAATTAACGATGTAGGGGAACATATGCAAAGAATTCTTTCTTTTTAAGTATTGCACTATGATATATAGTATTTGGACCTTAATCTGACAGTGAAGCTTAGTGACTGGTGGTCTTGGAGATATCTCACCACGTTCAAAGAAGTGGCGATGTTGAAAATTAATTTAAATACTATAATTTGTTTGCATACTATAATTCGTTTGTTTTTCTATATATTGTTATGTTCTTTTGCATTGTATCATTTATATGTTTGCTTAACTTTGGCATTTAGACTAATGGTTTTAGTATTACTTGTGTTTCATTGAATTTGTAGAAACATGTTTTGTATATAAGTGCCGGTTTTATATAGAATTGTAGATTATTGCATTTGTATTCAAATAGTGTTTAAATTGTTAAAATGCTCCATTGAAATGTAAAGCATGATATTTCGCAACATTGAATTGGTAACTTTCTAGAACGTTTAAGAAAGGCATTTAAGGTTTAGAGAATATGTTTCCTGAATCTTCCAGGAGCTTGTTAATTATACTCTGCGACAAAAATGTCCTTATCCGGCCTTTAGTTTTACAACCAATGAGAAGTAGTCGCATACTTTCAATTACGAAAAATATTCTAAATGACATAAGTACTCATGTTTCCTGCCTTAATCAGTTTTACAATATTTACGAAATCTAACGATTTACGCTGTGTTCTGGTCAATGTACTTACATTTAAGAAAAATTTATCTTCATTGTAAAATTAAAATACAAAGAAATTTTGACGCCGGTTGGACAAAAATTGACCGAGATCCGGAATTTCGTATATAAGATATCTGACATCATTTTCAAGGGTCTAAATATTATTGCCTGGAAGGGTTAATCAATAAACATTAACGTTAAAATAATTCGAAGGTTGATTTTTCTTTCTTTCTTCTGATTTATTGCATTCAGTGATGTTCTTTTGTTATTTGCTAGCGTGTAGCAGTCTTTAGTTTATAATTTAATACAATTGCTATGCCGAAAGAGTTTTCACACAATAATTTATAAATTTTTAAATTCTAAAAGCACGGTAATAGGATTATAACTTGATTTAACTTGTTAATAAAATTATAACTTATTGAAAACTTATAACTTCAATGCAGTAATTATGCAAAAATTGACTAAATTAGAACTGTTATTAATTTATGCAAATAAGGTTACGAGTTGCCTATGTGCCAGTGCGGAAGACTGTCAGTGCTTTTTAGACTATGAACTCTATAAGATTAAAAATAGACGAAAGTCTTCTCATGTGGTTTGGTGGTAGGAGAGAGGCGTAAGAAACCCTCTGAGCACTAAACCTCGTAAAGACGTTTAAGAACTCGGTTTATAGTAGCATATTTAGCTCCTACTTCTGATTGTTAGTTTCATCATTTCCTTATGGAATTCATTTCAAAATTGTACCGATGAGGGCAAGCATTTGAGAAACAATAATTTAAGAGCAATTTATCGGGATTAGTTCACCATTTGCATCTTAGTGCAATCGCTAAATATTTGAGATAGGTTCCGCTCAAGACTTTCTTAACAAAATTATAAAAATGATTCTGGAAACATTTTACAACCATTTTTTCCCACTCTCCTTATAATTCAGTTATAGACAAGCGGAAAAACTCAAAATTGACTAACATGTTACCTAGTGTGTTGCAGAAAAGGAATTATGTATTAGACACCGCATTCTGCCATCAAGTTGCAATCATTAAATGAATTAAGACAGAGATGTTGTTACAGGATCTCTACACACATTTTGCAGAAAACTTCAAAACTCAGCTCAGATGTTCTATTCATTGCAATTTCATTAAAAACGTGTTAGAATTTACAATATCAGAATCCTGATTATCTAAAATATATGTAATATTTTATTAAGACTAATGATATTAATCTTCTTAAATATTTGAAAATTACTTACTCAACAAAGTCATAAAAAGAATCGAAGATCAGTTTTAAATATCATTCATTTTATAAATGATGCCTTACGCACCATCATTATAGAATTATATTTACTTTTGTAACGATACATCAGTTCATAATTAATAAAATATTAATTAAAACAGTATGTGTTACAGCGCTCAGGTATTCGCTATCCAAAATAATGGCATAACTTATTTATGAGATATATTTATGTCAATTTTGCATTTTTGTGGTTTTCAAAGTATGGGCCTTTTTCCATGCGAGCTATTTTCCTTGTGGGTATCTTTTTGTCGGCATTCAAGACAAATGGCCTTTTATATGAGACTTTATTCGTAGGAACTTGTTTTGTGCGAATAAAGGTACTAGATATGGTATTAAAATCGGGTTTTGTATCAAGAAAATGTAATTTTTCGCATACACCTGATATATTCTAACACATTTCAAATTATTTTTAGCATTGAACGACCAAACTTACATTTAAACTGAATTAAGTAGATATGAAATATATTTTACCTGTGATATGTGAAGTATTGAAGTGAACGGCTTTGGAAAATATAGCAAAACCATTCGTGTAACTCGCAATTTCATTTCTATTCCCAAATGCAGTATCTGATGCTGAGTCGCAACCAGGCTGATGTTCACCTCCATTTGGATAAAAGTCTACATGCCCAATAGGCTGTTTTAACCCATACCCTAATAAAAAAAAATAATAAAAGTAAATTTGTTTTTCAACAATGAAATTTCTAAGCATCGTTTTACATATAAATGTTTTCGCAAAATACTTGAAAAACTTTACTTCAGCTTATAAATTATATATTCTTGATCCTAGTGACGTGTACTACATTTATAAATAATTCAAAAGGATTGAATCAGCTAACTACATCCAAATAAATCCCCCGTAAATCCTGAAGATATGCTGTTAATTTAAAATCGAAATCTCAGAAACTATAGCACCTTTTTAAATTTTTGCAGGCTAATTATGTAACATCATTATTTTTTTTTAATTTTCTTTGTAAAAACATGATTAATAAAGTTGTGCAATTCATTCTTGACAAAGATTCGACACTGTTGCAAGGATCTGTCAGAAATGTTTCTCTCTTACTGTAACGGATTACGGCATACAAGAATTTATTCACATTATAAGGCATTTTCTCCCTCCTCATTGCACGCCTTCGTGGCGTAATGATAGCATTTTCCTCGCGTATTCGAGAAGTCCAGGTTTGAGTCCCAGCGAGGATATTAAACATTTCTCACGTCTCCTGCTTCAAAGTAACCTAATGACTCTAAAACATAATTATTCTTATTTACTTTATAAAACTTGAGTGATTAAAAGATTAAAATGGGTAATGATAATTAATTTATTTATAAGAGATTATATGCGATAATAATCGAAAGCAAAAATTTTTTCAATATTAAATTTTAAAAAAATCTAAATTTGTTTCCACAATAAAAAACTGGCTTCCAAGTGCTCACGTTCGGCGTTTTATTCCACACTGCGTAGCTCTAGGCCAATCTGTCTCTGGGACGAAATTTACACATTCATAGTTTCTTCGTCTTATAATAATAAAGATCTCAATAATAATATAATTTTTTGTCTGCTAAATTACGACAAGGCACAAAACAACTAGAGAAGAGATGCCTTTTTGAGGTACATTTTAAAGAACACTGAAATGGATTCACGTTATATGTACTAGATAAAACTACGAAAACGCTTATAGTCAGGTTATTCGCTGTGTTTGCAGACTCGGGCGTAACAATAAGTCTTCAGTGGTTTTAACCATTAACGCATTGTGGGGATAAATGTGTAACACTTTAATAGAGACACCTAATACTTTATTTAAATATCTGAGAATTATACGCTAGATATTTTCAGAGAAAATATACATTATTACAAAATTGGCAATTCCTTTTGATCAAATCATTTTGAGATACCGTAATGTCTTTATGATTCCAGACAGGATGTGATAATGCGGTTCTTTTATCACTTGAAATTCACATGAAGATTTCTTAATATATTCCCATTAGACTGAAAGAAAAGAAGCTGTAGGATTTACATGCGTAATACCTTTAATATATCTTAACGTTTAATATTTTTACCTACGTGCCGCTTGGTCTGGCAAACTTATCTTTCAAATTATATGTAATGGTTTAACCCTAGATTAAGTATACATGTTACAAGTTAGGTATAAATTATATGTAATGGTTTAACCCTAGATTAAGTATACATGTTATAAGTTAGGTATAAATTAGGTATACATTCACAGTATACATAAACAGATTCAGACTTTGGAATATTACATTCCTTTGGAATACTTTAGACTTTGGAATACCAAGACAGAACGGAAACACGCCTCAAATGAATCATAAAGGTGAAGCAACAACCTGTGTGGATTTTTAGCATAGAAACTCTACCGATTTCCAGGGCGAAGAAAGTCCCTTTTCATCAGGAGCAAAGAAATCTGCAATTGAAATCCAAGTTAAGAACATATTGATACCCTAAGGAAGGCGACAGAGACGAGAGAGTTGTACCATCTGTTGCCAATTACTTGGTTTTCCAGTTGTAGATTTCTTTGCTCCTGATGAAAAGGGACTTTGTTCACCTTCGAAATAAATAAAATTTCTATGCTAACATTTTACGCCTAACGCAGGCTGTTACTTTGTTACTTCACTTTTATGACTTGTGAAACCTTATTGGACTAAAAGTAAAAAGAACATTACTACTGATAATATTTGTACTTCATTTATTCTTATGAATAAACTGAAGTAAAAGAATAAAACAAAACGCATACATTCACAACCTAGGAGCCAAAATAAAACATTCAAAGCAAAAAATTTCTGATGCTTTGAAATATTTCGATAACCCGCTTTATTTGGCGTCTGCTCTTAAGCCCAATGTTTGCATTTGGACAGTGAATCAGTGCAAGAAGAATAAAATGATGTTATTCTTAACATTCACTAACTTTACGGAACTATTAACATTACAGATAATGCCTAGAAACCAACCAAAAACGTGGCAATTCATAGCTCCACAAGGTATGGCACTGACATCCTAACCCAGTTAGGTAGGAAATGTTCAATCAAAACGTGAAATCTAGACGATCAATGCATGTGTTTTATAACATTACAGATAATGCCTAGAAACCTGCCAAAAATGTGGCAATTCATAGATCCACAAGGTATGGTACTGACATCGTAAACCAATTAGGTAGGAAATGTTCAGAAAAAACGTGAAATCAATGGATGTGTTTTATAATATTTTAGATTTCTCTCTGATCAATGCTTTGATTTTGAACAAGGAAGCTAGGGTAAACACATTCTCTAGCTGGGATTAGAGAGATTAGCCATCTTAAATTGTAGGAACGTTTACTGCAAATTTCCGAAAAGCTTTGAATGGCAACTAAATGCATTTATTATTTGTTCTACAAGCTTTCAGTTAGAAACCAAAATTTAATTTTTCTTTAAGATGACAAACTGTAAAATACGACATAAATAGAAGTATGTCTATATGTTACAAACGAAAAAAGTCATTTTAGGGAAAAACGTAAAACAATAAGCAGCAGAAAATGTAATTTGCGTTGATAGAAGTATGTGAAAGCAAAAATGTCACTTATTGGAGCTTGATCAATGAAAACCAGAAAGCTGAATATATCTTTCCTCTCAGTACCAAATATTAAAACGTTTTTAAGATCAGAATACGAAAAATTCATAAACATATATTACATTAAGATATGGTTTTATGTTCGCAGTGAGAAATAAATCTGAGTTTAAAATATTAAGTCATTGTTTAACCTGTCACAATGATAGTTTAATAATGGAAAGAACTGCGTTTTTTAAAGGTTTATAATTATAACGCAAAATTTTATGCAATTTAGTGTTTATTATTCTAAAACATGTGAAATAAATTTATAAATAATTACTTAGATATAATATTAAAAAATAAAATAAAATTATAAACTATGAAGATGAACGTATTACATTGTCTAAATGTCAAATGTAAATTAAACATCATTCTACAACAGATGTTAAAAGATCTAATAACTAGCAGTTTTCTAGGAGAAATATTCTGTTCACGTAACGTTAACGGGACTAAAAACACATTTCAGATATGTATGCTTTCTAATGTCAAAATTTCAATTTTTGGTAGCAAATTAACAACCAGTTTAATTTTATTTCGCTTAGAGAAAAAGGGGTTCAGATTCTTGGAAATACATATATTCTCTAAGACAAGGCAAACACGTAGAAACAAGACCAATATGTGTAACCGTTATTAATTTTATTGCAAGTTTTGGACTTAAAAACTTTCAGTAGCTCAAGAGTCATAGGACTGCCGACACATCCCTGATAGGACAATGCCAGTCTTCTGTCATCCCATCCTCACCCGCCAGTGTGATTTCAGAGACAATGCGTCTCATTGCTTTCTTATTTTGACTATATTTTATCTTAAGGTACACACCTTTATGGTGGACCAATTTGATGAGCCTTTATGTATGAGGCCCATCGTGATTAATTGCCCCTGTAAACCAGAATATGTAACCAAAGTATCAAGATACATCTGCAGTATTTAGAATCTGGATAAGCAGTTTTATAATACAGTCAAAAGTCGTTAATCCGGACTCGTCGGGACTTCGGCGATTCCAGATTATAGATCATCAGTTTAAATCTCGTAAGATGGCATGCAGAAATTCTAAAATTAAAAATATGAAACCGTAATTTATGAAATAAAGAACAATTATGATCTAAAGGGTATCAAAATTTTGCAAAAAAGAAAAGCTTAATATTTATTTGTTTACTTTATTAAACATTTCTTTCAATGTAAGTTGTTTAAGTTTTGCTTCGTTTCATGTGATAATACTTTCTCTTTAATTCTATTAAACAGACATAATATCTTGTTCAGTTACAAAGTTCCGCGGTTCAAGTCCTATAATTGCTGTGTCAAGAACACCGACTAAATTGTCAATCGAAATTTTTTTGTTTTCAATAACCTCTGTCACTTTTCTTCGCTATCGGAAGCGAATTATAATGACGAGGAACTTGTTTTAAATCATATCAAAGACGGAGCATATCGAGATGAAATACTACATTTGGTAAGGAATTATAAGCCAAATAAAATAAAAAATCTGCGCTGAAGATAAGGATAGTGCTGACAAATCAACTTCCCAATTCATTAGCGCGAGGCATTCCCGCCCGCCGAGCAGCGTGAAATTGATAAACAGATTTCGGATTTCAAAACATACTTTCGCTTTAGATCCTTTACATATTAACAAATATATATTGGAAATTCTATTTGATATAATCGAAAGTTTAAGCTTACTTTTATAAAATTGCTCTTACAGTCTGCAAAAATAATAAGCCGGATGCAATTCGAAAATTAAGGAACAACGCAATCATCAACATTAACTGAAATAGATAATTAGATAATTTTAGCTTATACGTCCATTATACATAAAATGCGCACGCGAAAACGTATTCTGCACTTGCGCACACTCATATGCGCAGTCGTAAAAGGTCTTACGCGCACGCGTGAACGCCTCTACGCATGTGTCAACGTGGCGCATGCGCAGAAAGTTTTTAGTTTTGATGTCCGGATTATAGATCATTCCGAATTATGGGTGTCCGAATTAACGACTTTTGACTGTATTTGACAAAGAAAGATAAATCAGCATACCTGATAAGCTTTCTCCATCCATGTTGGTATGTATAACATCAACAAATTTAGCATCACCTTTATCTAATCTCACCACTTTATGTACGCCGTTGAAATAGGGACCTGCTGGATCTAAACCTAGGAACCAATTATATACATATATAAAAAAGGGAAGTCCATATATATATATATACATATATAAAAAAGGGAAGTCCATATATATATATATATATATATATATAAAAGGGAAGTCCATATATATGTTTGTGTGTGTCTGTAATGATGTAAGCAGGGATGAAATGATGTAAAAATATCTATGGCGTAGATATTGATTAATAATGAAGAGCAAACTTGACAGCCGAAGCAGTTTAAATATTCACTTTTATTTCAATTTTCATTGAGAATACAATCCCCCTCTCACTCGTGCCTATTTTCTAAATATTTAACTCTTGATAGAACTGTCAGAGAAGTAGCACGGAAGCGTGTTAGTGATAACAGAGGTAGAAGCAAACTGCATAGTTATCCAATACGGGAGCTCACCAGGAAAAAGGTTTCATGTTCCCGAAATATCGAGTTGAACTTGCTGTGTCATTAGTTTTATGTAAGTACAGTAGAAGTCCGATAATCCGGCACGTTCGGGACCGGCTCGGTGCCGGACTACCGAAAATTCCGGTCTATCGGGCGGTAATTATAAGAACAATTAGGTTAATAATTAAACTAAAAATACAGTATGCAAATACATACAACAAAGTTTATTTTACATTTCATATAATGTATGTACACATACTGTAAAACATATTTTACTTAGATTTAAAAAAGTCACGAATGTCTTTTTGTTTTCTTGACTTTTGGCGTTTAGTATAAAATTTATTTCTAATGATATGGAAATCAATAATTTCTGAAGCACTGTAGCTAGTACTAGCCTCGGCAAAAGAGATAAACTTATTTAGTGATTCTGCAGCTTCTGCCCAGCTGATTGTTTCCTTTTCTTCCGTTTCGGCATTTGAGTCATTTTCTTCAAGATTTTGAGTAGGCTGAGGGTTTACTACAATGTTGATAATGTCCTCATCGGTTAGTTCTTGTTCAACAGGCTCATTCTCGTCGATTAAAAGCCACTCCTCTACCTCATCTTCAGGCAGGTTTTTCAAGGGATTGTCAGTACTTCTAACGACATCCAAAACTTTGGTCAGAGCGTCTTGATGGTTTTCTTCCTCATCAGTCTGTAGAGTTAGGTCAGATGCAGGGTTTGCAGCTGGCCAAAGTTTTCTCCAGCATTTTTGGAGTGTTGTATTTTTTACCAAGACTGGTTCCATGACTGTGCAATAGCATAGACGGCATCTTTTACTGTAAACGTTTTTTGAAAATCAGTCACGTCACAGTCGGCATTTAACAGGCCTTGAATAAAAGACCTTCTATAAAAGCATTTAAAATTTTGAATAACCCCTTGGTCCATGGGTTGAATCAAAGATGTTACGTTAGGTGGGAGCAGAGTAGCAACAATATTTCCAGAAACTAACTCATCTACTGGCGGATGGGCTTTGCAATTGTCCAAAAGAAGGATGGCTTTAGTATATTCTGGTAGACCAAGGCTTTTGAAGGATTCCTTGACCTCAGGCACAAAGTGGTGAAAAAAACCAGTCTTTAAAGAGGGCGGCAGTTATCCACGCATTTGATTGAGCATCGTATTGGACAGGCAAGTGTATAACATTCTTAAAAGCCCTGGGTTTTGCAGATTTACCTATCACAAAAGGGGTCACTCGGTGGTTTCCAGACGCATTAGCACATAGCAAAATGGTTAATCTGTCTTTGTTTTTTTTAAACCCTTGGCTGCTTTTTCTCCTCCCCCAGCTAGTGTAGATGTTGGTAAACATCGCCACAATAGCCCTGTTTCATCAGCATTGTAAATATGTTTTCAGGGTGTTAAATCATTATCAGCCACGATTTTCTCAAACTCGTCTTTGTATTTTTCTGCAGAGTTTTGGTTTGCTGAAAGGGTTTCTCCAGTTACATCAAGTCTTCGAATTCCATGCCGAAACTTAAAGTTTCTGAGCCAACCATCAGAATAATTACATTCACTTTCAGCAACTCCTAAATCTTGGCCAAATTTCTTTGCCTTTTCAACAATCATTGGCCCTGTTACCGGCTTTCCTTCAGAACGTACTGCACTAAACCATTTGAACAATACACTATCTAGCTGTTCCAGTTTTGGTTTTTTTAATGTTTGTCTAGGAGCTAATTTTTCAGTTGTTACCGATTTAGAAGCAAACTTCATTAGTTCATCTTTTTGTTTTTTAATGTCATAAATAGTTGATGAGCCAATATAAAACTCATTCATTAAAACATTTCTGTTCTCGCCTTTTTCTAGCCGTTTGATGATTTCTAGTTTCTGATTGAGATCAGTGTTACGTGTTTTCGTTTCTCTCCTTTTGAACTCGAAGGCTTAGGTTTTGAAAACATGGTCACTGTACAGTTAGAACGAAAATCACTTTTTTTATAAACAGTTTCAAAAGTTACGTTTACTGCGATGTGAAAGGACACAAAACAACAGCGCACAAAAAAAATGGCAAAGACGCTTCGTGATTGATTAACGGAGCTGCACTGCACCTGAATTTGTTGTGACAGCTGAGACTAGCCGGCCGCTAATTGTTTCCGAACAATACCGAGCGCTTCCGGATGATCTCGAACTACCCCGAAAACTTCCGAATAGTTCTCGAGCGGTTTTATTTGCTTTAAAGGCACACTTTTGGAGAAAACCAAACTTTTTACAATTTTCCGGAGCGATGCCGGACTATCGGGCATTCCGGACTGTTGGATGCCGGACTAATGGACTTCTACTGTAATATGATATGGAAAAGAAGCTTATTAGACACGTTTTACCGAATTTAAAATTGAAATTAATGTATTAATACAAAATATACTAGTAAAGTAACAGATGATTTGAATTTAAAATTTATTCAGTGGACGCAATCCGTTAGAGAAATTATTTAATTTCTTTTTGTTTCATTTGGCATAAGAAGTTTTACTAGTTGATGTTGCATCTTTCTTTAACAGTCTGGCACTGCATCGGAAAGGAGTTCAAAAGCTTCGGGGGAACTTTTATAATTACATAATTTAGAATGGTTCATCAGCTAATTTTGGACAACAGAAACGGAGTGGTTTTCAAAAGGAACGGGATTTAATTGATATTTCAAAAGGGGTTCGGTTCTGATGTACCTCCTCTTGATAACGTTATATCAGATTTTATTGCATTCATTCTTCATTATGTAATTATTTTTTGTGGTTTGTATTTTTTGAATTTTGAGTCTTTCACATTTCTTTAATTCTTCTGACTTTTGGTTAATTTACACATCTACAGGGAATTTTGAGATTTTCTGGCATTGTATTTCACTTCTTTTCGGTCTTTGTGGAATTGGTTCTAAATTTATTACTCTTTATCTATATATATATGTACATACACACACACAGTATATATACAGTACATATATATATATATATATATATACCTGATAACTCAATACCTGATAATAATATACCTGATTAACTACTTTGTGTTCCAAACTGTTTTTAACATACCTTATCAAATACATCCCCTTTATAGAATACGAAAACAATTTTATGTTTTGAGTTTGAGATCATTTCGGACGACTCAGTTATTGGGGTTTATCCGGTAGTAAAGTCCGTTTATTCCTACCCTTTATACCGCCAAAACAAATTATAATTTAATAAATGCCTTCTTTTGAAGAAAATATTATCTAAGCATGTTATTTCCTACTTGCAAATTTGTTTATAATTCGTATTTGTAGAACGCACCTCTCATGAGAATTTTTAGATTATCGGATGCAATACCACCGTTGCAAGAGATTAGAAAATTTTGCTCTTAATGGACATAATGGAATTTCTCTTTATTTTTCGCTTTACAAAGCAGCGTTTTTTCCATTCGTAAAAAGTTGAATTTTTTTAAAAATAAGCTATCGGACTTCAGTTGCTACTACACCTTCAGCTCTACCTCTTCCTCTGATGTGTAATAGCTTCCCACATATTCTAACCCATCTCCGCACACGCATATATGCATGAGAATGCACCATGAAGTGAGATGCACCATGAAGTGCGTTTTATAACTGCATTTTACTGTCAGGTGGGTTACAGCCGAAAGGGTTCGCCTACGCCTACGCCTACAGCCTACGCCTACAGGGGTTCGATGATCAAGATTGGCTCATAAATAAGTAGATAATAGTTGCATGGTCAGAAGAATTACAATTTCGCATTCATCAGGTTGATGGTCGTGTCAGGGTACGTCGTCTCCCAACGAACAGTTGCTTACTTCTGTGCAGCAGGTCATACACAGGCGGATTATGCTTTGGGGACGTCCTCATGGAGCGGCTGTGGGACCCTTAATTGTGATGGAACAGACCATGAAACCTAAGGAATATCTGACCATAGTTGCGGATCAGTTGTACCCTTATATGACGTCTGTCTTCCCGACTAGAAATGAAATCTTCCAGCAGGACAAAGCCCCATGTCAGAAAGTTCGAATAGTGTTGAAGTGGTTCGACGAGCATAAGAATAAATTCCAATTAATGTCCTGGCCACTTAACTCGGTGTCCGCCGATAACATCGCGGCAAAAACATCGCGGACGAAAACGTCGCGGAGAAAACAACGCAATGCGAAAACGTCGTGCTACATCGTGGGAGAAAACATCGCAGTTCTAAAACATCGTGGCACAAAACATCGTCGACGAAAATAAAGCGGTTCAAAAACTTCGCAGTTTAAAAACATCGTCGTCGAAAATATCGTGGTAAAAAATAAAGTATCTACAAATCATCGCATGACGATAACATCGCAGACATGCTTTTCTCAAATTTTAATAATTATAAATGGATATTCCCATAATGATTTGGGAGGGCAAGATGTAAAGAAGGATAATTTTTACCTTCACATTTTTTTTATTAACTAATAAATTTTTGCTGAAAAAATAAGAAGGAAACATAAGCATAGAAAATTAAATGCACTTATAGATTATACTTCTCATGAAACATTACCAGTGAAAACTTTATAAAAAATGATTTGCTAATGGTCTTTGTTAGTTAACTATGTCAGTAAAATTCCATTAAGTGCTATAAGTTGCATTAATTTTCTATGCTTAAGTTTCCTTCTTATTTTCTCAGAAAAAAAAATTATTAGTTAATAAAAAATATGAAAGTAAAAATGCCATGCTAAAGCCTGAATAAAGCATGTCTGCGATGTTATCGTCATGCGATGATTTTGTAGATACTTATTTTGTACCACGATATTTTCGACGACGATGTTTTTAAACTGCGAAGTTTTTGAACCGCTTTATTTTCGACGACGATGATTTGTACCACGATGGTTTAGAACTGCGATGTCTTCTCTTTGCGATGTTTTCTCCCACGATGTTTTGTAGCACGACGTTTTCGCCTTGCGTTGTTTTCTCCGCGACGTTTTCGTCCGCGATGTTTTTGCCGCGATGTTTCGGCTGTAACCCTTAACTCGCTGGATCGTAAGCCGGTAGAGCACATTTGGGATGTCATGGAGCAGCAACTTAGAACTCAGACACCAACATGTCGAAATATCTTGACTTTGCGGGACTGCTGCTTAGACATTTGGTTCAGTCTGTCTCCAATCATCTAACAAGAACTTGTGACATCCATGCCAAGACGAGTTGCAGCTATTTTGAAGGCAACTCGCAACGCGTTATTGAGTAGGAGGTTACAATGGTTTGGCTCTTCAGTGTATAAGAATTCAGTGCGCTCTAAATTATACTAAATGCAAAGGGAATAAATAACCTCACTATAAAGATCAGTTTTCGATATGAACCAATGTATTAACATAAATCCCCAATTTTTTATTTGTCTCATTTTTGTCTATAATCACCTTTTAAACAAGTGTATGCTGCCACCAGGTGGCATCGTTATGTATTATTTTTAGAGAATTAATATAACGAGTATAAAAAGGAATATATGACAACACTTAACACTATATTGTAAATTCGAGCGATATGTTGTGTTTAAAAATTTTGTGATCGTTTAATCGTTTTTTTTTTTTTTTTTTTTTTTTTTTTTTTTTTTTTTTTTTTTTTTGTGAATCAAAAACTCTGTATAACCAATGAATACACTAAAGTCGGTGTGATATTTTCAAATTAAAGCACAGAAAAGAATGGCTACATAAACACGTTTAATAATCATTGCCCATTTTATGGTAGAATAAAATTACAAATAATAGTAGTACTTATGGTTGACACTGAGCCATAAATTTTATAAACAAATTAGATTTTATTAACGATAAAACGGAAGTGATGGTTTACTTAAAGCTAGTGCTATTCCTCCATTTTCACGTCTTAAGAAGGAACTGGCGGAAGGTCATATGCTGGCCACATGAATTTTTTGCATTATATTTTATAACAGTACACAACGAAATCATATAAAATTACATGTGCATGGGGTCCTTCTGGACGACACAGAGATTCGCAGAAGCTGACTGCTAGTTCGAAATATCAGAGTGCGATTTCGATTTGCGAGAATTGGATTGTTTGTGCATATCTTTTATTTCTTCTCGCGAATGCACAGGATTCTACCATTTTGTAATACCTAGTACTAGATATGTACTCAATAGTGAAAAGGTTAAAAGCCAGACGGGTTCGGCAACTCCTAATAATTTTTCCTCAACAAATAGCCCTAAGATTTAAAAATAAATGGATATGATATTTTTAAGCTGATGAAAGAGACTTCCGTGGTTACTCAGAATATGGTCAAACTATTTGGAATAGTCGCTGTGTATATCATACAAACTGAAATTAAAAGGAGTACATTACGAATAAAAAGGAAAATTTAATTTACCTGTAATTCTACCAACTAGCTTATTTTGTCTGTCCCGAAGCCACTTGCCAGCATATCCCGCTGCATGTGCACCAAGACCATGGCCGATGAGATGCACGTCACTTGGATAAAACTCCGAGATATTCTGAAATATCATTCACAATTATATCCATGATCACTTGGAAAATTGTTAGTCCTGCCTTAAAATCGCAAAGTAATAATATAATTAAATCACTTAGTTACGTATTTCTTTTTTAATTTTATTCCTGAGATTCGGATGGATTGACTGTTTGATGCTGTCGTAATTTTCTCTATCTATACCATCTCAACCTTTTAACTAACGGTTACCATCTAAGCAAAAATTGAAAACATTTAGTACCACCACTACATTTTACAATTTATTATTTTTAAATTTCTCTATAGAAATATTAAAAAGTATATATTTTACCGTTTGTACAACCTGTTGCCTATTTGTATTAAATTTTCTCACATTAAAAATATTAGATTAAAAATTAGTAACCATTTTAATTGTCAAAATTTAAGTTATAATAATTTAATTTTAAAATTTAATGGGAAATTTGGGCCTGTTTAAGAGGGATATTTTCCTTTACGTATGATCTTATTTCACTTAGTTTTAACCGGGAATTGCGATCTACTTTCAGGTTTATTCTGCATTTATGTTTCAAATATAACATGGAAGAAAATCCTTGTTCATACAAATAAATTGTACAAAAAGGTGATACAATTTTTTTCTGTATTTATTTTTCAAATATAACATGCAGAAAAATCCTTGTTTATACCAGCCAAATGTTAACAATTGTGTTATTTTTTAAATCTTCAGTTAGAGTTCGATCACAGAAAAATTTCTATCAATAGTTCTTTTTCTTCACGAGATAAAACTTCAGATACATTTGAACAAAATGGATTTCTAATACAATTTTCCTTTACATAATCCTCGGGAAAATAAGTGTTGAAATTAATTATAAATGAAAAACAATGATTTTTAAAGTCGGATGCTAATTCTTCTTTTATTTTCAAATTATTTTCTGTTAGGAAACTTTCTAAAAGTATTCAAAAGCTTAAAATATTATTATTCAATTATTTGATTATTAGCTCAAGTTTTTTTTATAATTGCATTTATTTTATCTCTAACGGTGAACAAATTAGCATTTTGCCCTTATAATCTTAAATTTAATCCATTTAACTTTCCAAAAACATCAGCTAAATATGCTAAACGCGCCAACCATAATTCACTAAATAAACATTTATGCAATACAAATTTTGAATTCTGATCGAATTTTAAAAAGACGATTTAAAATTTGCTTCTGGATAACCACTTTACTTCGTAATGTAACAAAAGTTTTAATATTCACTGCCGTTCTCTTGGCATAAAATCGTAAATATTCTTAAATTTTAATCTCGGCTTTTAATAAAATTGAAATTTTCACATCTTGGCTCGAAACGATTTCCATGTCTTCGAGGATTGTTTCGATTATTAAAGCTGTACGATGATTGGAGCAGTTAGTAAATTTAGTTTCAAGTGCGAATTTATTTATTTGAGAAATAATACTGGAATGGTTTCTCGTCAAAGCTCTACGGCAGTGCTCTTATTCAAAGAAATATCAGACATAAAACTGTCAAATTCTTTCAAAATTTCATTTTGCAAATACTCTATCATGAAGAGATTTCCAAAATAAATTCTCTTCGGCAATTCTGTTATCTTCTTCGAAACGTATGTAAACTAATAATTGAACAAAGTTCGTTATATCAGTACTTTCATACAACTGCAATGTGAAATATTCGCTGTGTTTTATTTTTTGAATAAGTGTCTCTTTTATGAAATTTGCCCCTTCATGAATTCTTTGACTTGTATCATTTGATAATGAATTATTATTAAGTTCATTAGCCTCTTTTTCATTGAAAAATATTAAAAGGATATCTTTAGCAGCTGATAATATTAGGTTTCCTCTAATATTGTAAGCCTGCTCAGTCTTGGCAATTCTTAGGCTTACTATGTGACTTGCTTCCAAAGCCTTTTTCACTTGAAGTAACAAAACCTTTCATTACCTGTTTGTTATTTTTGAACTCCGATAATTTGCTCATAAAATATTCTTCAGATTTGTCCTTTAAATTAGCATGTTTAGAATCAAGATGTCTTTTAAGAAACGATGGTTTAATACTTTGATTGGAAAACTGTTCACCCCAAACAGCACAGTTGAGGAAAAAACACTCCCTTTTTTATAATTAAGTATTCATTTTTCATCTCCATTCCAAGTAAATCCAAATGATAAATAACTTTCATTATAATATGTATAAATAATATTTTTTTTCTTTTCAATATTCTTAGTGCTAGAAGACTGTCCTGGATCCATGACCTGTGAACCATCAATTTTTCGCTTACTCAGTCCTAGCTATTTTTTCATTTTGAAAATCTAGGTTTTGTTTATTACTTTTTCACAAATATTTAAATGCAGAATTTATTACAATTTCTTTCAAAAACAAACGATGATATTCTCAAATCGCTTAGAAAAGTAAGGAATACAAAGCAAAAAGAAGACAATATACCTATTTCTAATGACAGAAAATCGACGTAAAAGAATTATTCTAATTGAAAATAGTGCAATTTGAGGCCAGAAATGAAGGCAACAAAAAATGTGAGTACGCTAATAAATCGATGAACTCTAAGATAATTAATGAGATACTACTATCTTTTTATAGGAACTTATTTTTATTTCCTATTAAATACCAACATCCATTTCTGCTACTTCTTTTAAAAACATTATTTATTAAATTTAATTTTGTGTTTATTTTAAATTTTGTTACATCTATGAATAAAAGAATATTTGGAAAATAAAAATGGATTATTTTGCTAAAGTCTTATAAGCGGCTATTGAACTTGAACAAAGCTCAGATCGCATAAATTACGAGTGTTAGAGAAAAAACATGATCTTGAGATATTTAATTTTTGAATTTAATACTTAAAAATACTTTGTTTCTTTGCATACCACCTATTTTTGTCTTGCGTACCACCAGCGGTACGCATGCCAGCGGTTGACAATTACTCATACCACTAATATGTGAATTTTATTTAGAAATTGCTCCATGAAGACATCTTTCGCTTGGAAAAATAGTCATAACCTATCTTGACATAAATAAATAATCTAATCCAACCTGAGGAAATGTCTTAATATAAGGGTATGTAATGTGATTACCGATATGGAAAGACATGTCATAAATATCATTTTATAAAAGAAAGACGTGTTATGAATACTTTTTTCTTCTAAAACGTAAGATGAAATAGGAATTATTAAAATATCCACACAAATTAATGGGAAACTGTATATGTTAATTCATCCATTAATTTAATAAGCCTATTGTATGCGGTTTTTAGACTAAACCACATTAAAAATTATTAATTACCTTCCAAAAGTTCATTTTCGAATTCCTTATACACAAAACGGCTTGAGTGGAAAATCATCAGCATTTTTTAGCTTTTTGGAATCCAAGCAATGCAGTTCGTTAAATGTGGAGATAAAAAGCGATTGTGTAAAGCACGCTGATTTCCTTTCTTCCTCAGTATTTTCGCGGAAAACATTTTCCCAACAAAGTATTTTGCTTACTTTGAGAGATAAGGTTATTTTCTTATGGTAGCAGTTAGTAAATATAATGCGAGTTTTAAAAGTAGTCTCATTCGAGAGATGAACAATTTCCAGTTCACTCTTCAGAAATTGATGTTGTATTTAATAGGAAATAAAAATAAGTTCCTGTAAAAAGATAGTAGTATCTCATTAATTATTTTAGAGTTCATCGATTAATTAATCGTTATCACATTTTTTTGTTGCCTTCATTTCTGGGCTTATATTGCACTATTTTCAATTAGACTAATTCTCTTACATCGATAATCTGCCACTAGCAATATCTTCTTTTTGCTTTGTATTCCTCACTTTTCTAAGTGATTTGAGAATAGCGTCATCGAGTTACGTGTGAGAACACAATTTTCTCACTAATGGATTTAATCGTAAGTTTAATCTTTATCGAATAGTAACACGCGGGAATAAATTCTCACAAACTGGTTTTTCTCCCTTTTTTCGACGACAGCGGCAAACGGGAGAACAGGGTTTTGGCCCCGCTCTTCTCGTGATGGAGTTAATTTCCAAAGTGTGCTAATAGCTGATGCTTAAAAGAAAGATACATAGGACAAATAAAAGAATAATTTTGAGTATTCCTGTGTTTTTCTGAGATTACTTTTCTGCAAGTCTTGCTCATTACAGCATGGAAACTGAAGCACATTACGTGTATTTATGTGGAGTTCAAGTAGCTGTGGTTCACCCAATGCAAAAATACAATGGGCGGTGTGGAATTGGTTACAACGTGTGCATTTTGCAAAAACAAGCGACACGTCGTGAAGTGTGTAACATCAAGAGTTCAAGTGTGAAATGTTAGGTGATTCAAAAGGTGAATGGTGAAGGATTGCGACAGATTAACTCCAAAACATTTTCGAGCACGTGGCTGCGCAGCTAATTTATGGAGTCACTGTAGCAAGATTTGGCCGGACGTATAATGTTGTTACGTATAATGCTATCTAATCTGTGGACCATCAAACACTGGCCATTATCTTTTCAAATGACAGGCTAGAAAATTTCGAAAAGAGATATTTGAAACAGTCTTCTTCAACTGGGAAAACTTTAACAAATTGATTCATGAGATCCAGTTTTTATGCAGAGGTGGAAATATAATGTTCTGTTTGTCGACAAATGGCTGATATGGAATTTTTAGATCATAAATTTTCAGGTCAGTTTTGGGGGGCCAGTTCGAGTGCACCGAATACTTCCCACGAGTTCTGCTGTCCCGCATGCACACACAAAAAAGGAGGAGGCAGACCCTTTTAAGATCAACAAAGAATATTCTTTGTTGCATGCGAAATTGCAACAAATCAATGATTTTCTTTGCGCCTTCATATTTTGGAGAGTTCCAAATTATTCAAGTCATGTTGGTCAAGTCTCTTACGAACGTTACTATCCTTAGTTTCAAAATCTTTGACGTTGTGGTTGGTTTGATATGTACCAGAATCGTGTTCCTGTATTTTCAAAGAGGGTAATTCTTTGAAAAGTGGCCCTGGGAGTGGGTAATTAATTGGACGTACAGCTGATGGTAAATTAGAATACTCTGACGTTTTCACTACAAAATTAACAATGACTTGGTGTTATCTTTAGGCTGTAGCCAAATCATAGATATTTAGAAATAGAAATTTAGAAAGTGATCCGTTCATCCACATTCGCAAACTCTCAATGCACTCCTGGCACATGATGGGAGGGACCCATGATTTATCTTGATCATCAGGTTTTATTTTAAAATACTATTTACCATGTATACAAACAAGAACTCGGACTACAAGTCGGAATGTTCTGCACTCTATTAAAGCGACACACAGCTGTATCATAAGCATGAATGAACTAGTCTAGACAGTATAACAGACTAGTATGCACCTATCGCTGGTCTCTAAAGGCATCATTCATGAGGGGTCAGTCGGAGGGGTTATATCAAGCAATAGGAGAGAAGTTGTACTTCGTATGTTCCACGTTCAATGACTCGAACAGTGGTCACATTCAAATAAGGTGTAGAAAAAAATCTTGACGTGATAGAATAAAACTAACTACAGTTATGAAGTCAGCATGCCTATTTAGCTCTAAAACAGCTCAAAAATTAAACTCAACAGAAATTGTGTTACAAACTGTTCCCAAGCGGTACAGGTCAGTTCTACGCCAACGTTTCGACGCCAACGGTTCGACGCCAGCGTTTCGACGCGTGGTCAGTTCGACGCCATACTTTTCGTATTTTTATTTATTTTTAGAATAAGTTTGCATCATCATTCAAATAAATTTGTCATCATCATTTGGTGTTTCACACCCCACATTATGGGAATTTATAGATGGTCTCAGGCGTGTTCAAAAATCAATTGATCAATGTTATGAACAATTTGTACGTGGAGATGAACCGCCGCCCAAGCGGAATAAGTATCTGCGAGCTGATATGAGAATTAAAGTAATATTTGAATATTTTGAATTGAATATTTTGAAATTCGAGAAATAATGGAATACCTGAAAGGTGTGGCGCATAATTTTGCAATGGATTAGTATAATAACAGTTCTATGATGTAATCTTATTTATCTCTAATCTTATTTATGTGTGATCTTATTTATCTGTAATCTTATTTATCTGTAATCTTATTTATCTGTAATCTTATTTATCTGTAATGTTATTTATCTGTAATCTTATTTATCTGTAATTATATTTGTCTGCAATATAATATAACTACTTTGTAACCGTATGTTTACTTACCATTTGTGTATTTTGCCTTTTTGATGCTGTTTTGTGAAATAAATAAAGAAAAAAAAAACCCTCCCTCATGTCCCGGGGCCTTGACGTTAGCGAGGGGGCTTCTCACTAATCTGGGACACAAACACAAATCTAGAGCACTTTCACACATATACACACATATATTTATTTCAAATATGCATGCAAACAATCGCTAATTCAATAAATAAAAATCAGTCATATTACTTATTAAAACTATTGACTATTATTGACTATGACTTAATAAAAATCTGTCCTATTACTTCATATTTATTCTAAAAATAAATAAAAATACGAAAAAAATATGGCGTCGAACTGCCCCTGCGTCGAAACGTACGGCGTCGAACTGTTGGCGTCGAACCGTCGGCGTCGAAACGACCTGCTTCGGTTCCCAAGTGTCATGAGCAGCCACAATGCGCTGTTATTTTCCTTGTTAAAATTTGAATACGAGTTATAGGGGCCCACCAACGGCCGAACTGTAAAGTCGCTGAATACTGGTAGCTCGGTCTAGGGCCCGAATCCCAGGGAAAGTGCTGGCTGCATTTCTCATGCGTACCGTGTATATGGGTCAGTTTCTCCCAGAAAATCCTCCCCTTAGGCATCCCTTCTCTTAGAAAGATAGCCCTCGTGCGCTTTACCGCAAATACATAAACCAACGTTGTGTTACATTCTTTGTCTTCGTTTTTGTTTAGAAATGCAGACAATCCTTCTTCCAATCAAGTATACAAGGAAAAATTATTCCCCTAAAAATACGCCCTTTCTTTTGCTCGTTTTCACACTGATTCTAAATGGCATTACAAGCATCTATTATTTGCATATGAGGCTACATTTCATATCCTACTTATCATAATATTTTCATATCCTACTCTCTAATTATTATGCAAAATTTACGACGATAATCTGTTTTCTTCATGGGGTAATTTTATATGTCAACTGTGTATTATTTAATTTAAATTTAAATAATATTAAATATTTTTATTTAATTTAAATAATACCATTCTCAAAAATTATATCGTGTTACACAGGAATGAAATATTTGGTAGGTAAAATTCGAATGGAACTAATGTAAACGTACCATTAGATGTTCTATAAAAAGACCAACTTCAGCACCTATTACTCGTATATTTGCAACTGCTTGTTCGTACCTCAGCTCTTTATCGTCTGACCAGTCCACGATATACACATTGAAGTATTTTCCCTTCAAAATGGCATTCTTCATTTTCTGAGAAATAGAGCATTTATTAAATGGCACTCATTGAATCAATACTGTAACACTATAGTTTCTAATAATAACTATTTCTATTTCAAGTTATTTATATTTGAATGAATAGATTAATATTATCCAATTTTAGAAAAATTTTAGAAAAATTGGACCCATTAAAACCAAAACACAGTTGGAACACAACTGGCAGCCCGAATTTTAAATGTTGAATTTGTTTTCTGCGTCATAGTTTGTAAAACGTTATTGAATTTTTAATTAAAACTTAACCCTTTCAAAACGAGCAGTGGTAACACTCTACGGAATAAAACATTTTTATCTCCCGCGCACGAGACTGTCCATTCAAAATTCTAAAGGTACGCTGTTTTTAAATATTTTTACCTCATAAAGGCGTTATCCTAAATGCTCTCGAAACATGTATATGTGTGTAAATGAAAAAAAAAATCCCTTTGGGCGTAAAATAAATTCTGAAGGCATTAATTTTTTTTCTTTTTCGCGTTTTTCCAAAATTTGGTTTAGATTTTTTTAAATTAATGTTTTAATGGTTTTTTACCCATATCGTTGTTTAAAGAACAAACTGAAACTCTCGAAATTTGAATGTCTGCATCGGATAAACAGAAAAACATTTTTTAATTAACATGAGATATTTAACATATTTTCCGACTTTTTGACAAAATCGCTAGATTATGTCGACTTAGCCTAAAAGAATTATTGAAAGTAAAGGAATGATTGATCGTTGTTGAAAAAGATCGTGCAGTTGGATAATTTAAGTGATAATGTATGACTGACGTTAAGAAAAGAAAATAAAAATATTTGAATAAGTTTTTATAAAATAAGCTCTTACGTATGACACATAAGCTAAATAAGGAACTAAAGGAAGGTATAATTTATATTGTTACAAATTTTTTATTTGGATAGCTAAATTTAGTAGAAATACAATTAAATTTGTTTTAATTCCCAGTGCAATATAGTTCGTGATAAATTTTATGAGAAAGCTGCGCCGAAAAAGTAAAAATATAAAGTGCAATGTTAAATGCACGTGCTGTATAAATGTAGCACGTGCATTTAACATTGAATAAATGGATATCTCTTTTATTTGTATTGAATTTGATCAAATGTAATTCACTACTTTATTTGCTGTAACTGTTATTATATCCTCTTGTTGGATTCCAGAAATCTCGAAAAGCAAAGAAATTACTAAAACTCTCTCGCGACGGATTAAAAGCTTTAAAAAGCCAAAGAGAGACATCTCAGCTATAGTGTTTAGTTAGCTTATGTTGTGGTCGATCGGATTAGCTTTATCTTTGTATTACATTGTATTTTAACATTTTTTGTAACATTTTTAGTAAATAATATTTCTTGTGACAAGAATAAATTTTATTAACCTATTATTGGACTTGTGCATTCAATCTATTTCGAACCCGTAGGCACGCAACAATATATTTAAATGGGGACCAATAAATAATGCACTAAAGGAAGGTATATTTTATGATATATTTTAATGGGAACTAGAAATAAAATAATTGTTTTTACTATATTTCTGTACAATTTTATATAACGAAGAATAAAAGTGAAGACACCTAAATAACGAAATACATCAATTGAATTCAATTTACAAAAGAATAAATTATTATGTTCATTAATTTATCAAGAATGTCCCGTGATATTATTAATCGTGGAAGAAAACTGAAGATAAATGTTTTAAAGTATATTACATATTTAATTGCTTGTTTCCATTTAACTATACGGTAAATTATTTTCTTTATTTCCTTAATTATTTTACGAGTTTAAACAAAAAGCTTATTTTATAAATCATTATTTCAATTTTCTAACTTTTCTTATTTATTTATTTATTTATTTATCTATATTTTTCTACGGAATTCGCAGCAAAATTTCTTTTATCGTATCAATACCCTCAAACGATGACTTTGAAATAGAAAATTTCAGTCCAGAACTAAAAAATGTCAGACGGGGCTACAACAGATAAATAGAGGAATCTATATTTTTTCAGTATGTGGCCAACAGTTTGCGAAGAATCAGAACACTCTGACGTGGCACATTATCACGTCACAGTGCATATCACATGATATACACGATTTCTCTTGCAACAATCCTGGTTATATTCAGAGACCTGCTCGAAAGGTACACTATATACATTCATATAACAATTCTTGTCGCAGTTGCTGGAAAATCAGGATGCATAACACGGTAATAGTGGAAGTAAACAATCAGTATAACTTTAATTTTATACTGACTTTAATGTAGTGTTTTCGATCTTGCTTCACGTTTCGAGTGGTATTTATTTAATTTTTGAATAAATCGGGCAAGGAACAGCATTTTGTGAATAAATCGGAAAGCGAGGTGCTGTAACGTCAACTAATCTTACAAAACTGCTTGAATTTATCCTTATGATGCAGCAACGTGTATACCTAGCTGTTAAATGACAATCACGAAGCACAAAATCTCCGACTTCATCAACGTGATGCATGTTAATTGACGTGGATACCAAAGTTCGGTTCATACTCGACGCACTCTCTGCCTTCCTTGAGTAGAATATAATTCTAAATAACCTTTTTTGTTGATAAAGTATTGTTTTCAAAAGTCTTCTGAAATATTTGATACGTTTTGTAGCAGAAATTATGCTGTGAAACAAAATTTAAAGCATGTTCTTTGATCAGTTACATCCATTAATTTGGGAATTTGTTAAGCAAACTATTTTATTCATTAAAAACAAAATTTACGTGCGAGTGATGCAGCAATGAAGTATGGATTGCTGTGACATGTCGCTGAAAATCGTAACAAAATTTGGAAACTTTTTGCAGTTAATATCTTGGACATGCAATAAATAATTTTTTAAAGGTTTTGATCACAGTAGTACATTGCAATATATGATCTTGATATCGTAATATAGTATTGCAGTACTGAAGATATGCCACAGATTTAAGCTTTTGGTTTTAAGCATTCTAAATAGTAATATATAAGCAAGACAAACAATTATGATTTAATATTTTTATCCTTTTTTTTTTTTTTTTTTTTTTTTTTTTTTTTTTTACAGAGAAAATATATAAGCTGGAATTCTTTAAATCTTCATTTTGGCTCCTTGCGATTAGGAGATATTTTGCCTTTATACCTTAATTACCCTGAGTTATAAAAGGATTCTCAAGAGCTTCTAATAAGACCATCACAAATTAGAAGTATTATGATCCCCCAGAGAGATTAATTTCATCAGGTGAGTGCAAAGTTTTCAACACTACATTTAAACACCTCTATTAGGGTATTTGAGGAAAGGGAATAAAACACCTTGGCAGGGGTACATAGCGAAACACCTAGTTGCTCTATAAAACGAATTCATACTTCATTCTACATGGCTCCTGACAAGATACGTTCTTAACATTGCATGTTAGACCTACCAACGACCGAGCGGTAAAGCCGCAGAGCGCTGGTAGTTCCGTCCGAGATTCGAATCCTGGTGAACGGGCTGGCTGCATGGCCGTTTTTGTGGTTTTCCATATGTTTAACGTGTATACGACCCAATTTGCTTTAGAAAGTCCTCCATGGAGGCATCTCTTTCTTCAGGCAGGCCTTCGAGTACTTTGCCATAATCGAGTAAATCGAAACAAACCAAGACATTACTTGTTATTACTTTTCTACTTTGGAAATTCTGCTTCATAAGATCCAAGAAAGACCGATAAAGCTTGTAGAAGACCACATTAGTAAAAGTACGGTGTCGCCCAACCGGTAGAAGGATTAACGTCGCTGACTGCCGTACTGACGGGCCTGGGTTCGAATCCCGGAGAAGGCATGGATATTTGTAAATGTATAGTGTCGGTGCGGCATGGCGGCACTCTAAATATGCGGCAAGCCTCTCGTGTGGTTTGGTAGAAGGAGAGAGGGGTGGTAGACTCTCGGTCCCGTCTCCTTGGGATGCTCTCCATCAAAACTTTGAGAGGAATTGAGCCAAATCGCACAGTCACCGCTCAAGGGTTCAAGGGTGTTTCCAACGACAGGCGTAATCTTGCGCTCTTTGTCACTAGGAATTTCGTGGGCTTGGGCTGATTACGTCAGACAAGTGATCATAAGCAACAAGAAGTACAGTGAGAGAATGATTCTCTAAATTTTAGAAAATGAGCTTTCCCCCTACAGGACAAGCAAAGAAGTGGAAGACTTCAAGAATTTGAAAACGATGAGCTGGAAGCGCTACTTGCAGAAGATCCGGTCCAAATAATCAAGGAATTGGGTGAGAAGCTTGGAATGGACCATTCATCAATTGTTAGAAATCTGCAGCATCTAGAAAGTAGACAAGTGGATTCCATACCGAGCTTAAAGAATGTAATCTTGAGAGTCGTCTGAACACTTATGTGTGACTTCTTGCTCGTCAAAATGAAAGTTTTTTCCTGCGGAAAATCCGTAGCGAGAGTTTGGGTGTGCTATGATAATTCTAAGCGTAAAACATGATGGTAAGTTATTTCTGTCACTAAAACGAATATTCATGACCAAAAGGTTTTGCTGTGCATCTGTTGAAATGTTAAGGGCATGCTTTATTATGAATTACTGTAATATGAATGTGAGTGAAAAAATCGCGAAAAAGCCACCTTTTACTGCTTAAAGAAAGGTAATATTGTTGCATGATAGCGCTCGTCCATATGTCGCTTTGTCAATAAAAGGAACAATTTTCAACTTAGTCTATGACGTTCTTCCATATATCACATATTCATCTCATCTCAGTCCTTCAGATTATCATATTTTTAGGTCCCTACAACTCGTACATTTTGGCCAGCGCTTAGCAGATATGGATAGCATCAAAAATAGCATTGATAAACACATCACATCTAAGCCACAGGTATTCTTTGAGCAGAGAATACAAAACCTACCTGATTTATCAGCTATCATGATAGAGAGTAAGGGAAAATACTTTGAGGAATAATATTATATTTCGTTGAGTTGAAAGGTAATGTTATTCTCAATGAAAAACGCTGGAAACTTTTGCACATACCTGATGTTATATAAACAATTCCCATGAGAGGAAACTCCCTCCGAACAGGCATCAAAAGAATTTAAATAACTAATTAAGTACTGGATGATTTTCAGAGTAGTTTACTTACCAATGGCCATTCTGAATTTCTTTCAAAATAATCACGAAAGATAAATAACGTTTTACTATACCTCAGACGAAGATTATTATGAACAGTCCAAGAGGAATTAAAAGGTCTATTACTAATTTTCTGCGGAATATCTTTTTTTAATGGGCTGAAAAAGCGGAACTCTGTGTTAACATCTTCTCTACTTTGTGGTTTTACACTAAATATTCTTTCCAATGGAGGATAATCAAAAGGACAGCCGGTACTGAAAATCCCCAGTTCTCCCAAGTCAACAATACTTTGGTTCTTCATATCATGTTCAGGACAAACAACTGAAAAATAAACATAATTAAACAAAATGTCAAAATACAATAAAATTTGTGTCATTTAGAATTTTATTTATATTATACCTATGCAAATGTTGTACTCAGAAACGTGATTTGAAATGTTAATTTTTTTTAATTTAGAAAAGTTAGAAATTTAGGAGGCAGATATTTTGAGGAGATTATGATTCATATAAGGAGTTTTTAAAATTTTTGTTTTAAATGAACAGAATTAGGTATCCATTAATATTGCAAAAACTGAGTATATACCAAAGGAAATTTACATGATAATTAAACATGGAAAAGAAATAGACACTGCAAACCAAAAGTTAAGGAACAAATAAAATTCTTGCCGAAGCATTCAAACCCTATTTTAAAAAGGAAAATAGTTTTAGAAACACCAGATTCGGCGTTGTTAATTCTAGAATTTAAGTTTTAAAGGCGTAGGACTCGTGTACCATCGTTTGGATTTCGCAAATTCTTAGCATATATATTGTCGCAAATTTTTAGAAAATATTTGTTATCTGAAATGTTGTTAACAATGTTACAGAGCTCGACTCTTTAGTTAACATTTTCCCTTGTGAGACTGCTAATTGGATTATCGCCGAATCCCTTAAGATGCTATAACTCAGACGAAAGTTTCACCTACTAAAACTACCTTTCATTAAATGGTATTAAAACAACTTGTATCTTTCACAGGTATCTTAAAACTACCTTTCATTAACTATTTGACTACGTTTCATTAAAAGCTTTCAACTTAACGAATGCACGGCTTGTGGTTGCAGATTACTCTTCGCACCTTGAGGGATTGCAGATAGCAAAAAATGAAAGTTAAGACTGAAATTAATTTGAGTTTAAAGATACACAGATGTAACAGACCTAGCATGCTTTGTCTCTATTCTAAACTAATTATACGAGCAACTAGGTTAATAAAAGTTTAAGGCAAGTTTAAAATAATTCATAAAACTGGATAAAGACGTAAACAACGATCAAGGTTGCTCTAAAAGCTTTCTTTCTAACTGGTAAGACCCGCCTAACGCTAGAGGACGCTGAGAGCGCCATTGAGAGGGTGCTGAGATTCGATGCAGTTGCTCGATGGAAGATGTGACGCAGTTGTGAGATTCTGAGATTGAGATATTATTATATTTAATTAAATCAATTTATATTTTATTGATTGGTGATTATTGAATTTGATTTATTGATATGAGATGTGATATGTTTTGCTGAACCACCACACTTTCGACAAACTTGGATTACCAATGAATCTGAAAACCACCGATGCGCATTTGATGTATCTACGCCAAGAACCAGGTAAGAGAATCTTTATTGAATTATTGAAACTGAATTATACCTGGATAGAAATTAAATATGGCTGAAAATCTGCCAAAGTTGAAGAAGGAAACGCAGTTCCGTGCGTTCGATGTTGACGAAATTAGTTAACAAAATAGAAGTTGCTATCAACAACGAAAACGAAACAGTTGATCAGTTGGAAGCATTTTTTGGAACAATTAATCGGAAAATAAACTGATTTAAATTCTTTAAATGATGAAATTGAAAATCTTTTGAGCGTTGAGACAACATCTGAAGATATACAAGCTTCAGAAGAAATAAAAGAAAAAATAATTTTTTGAAAATCGAAACTTCATTCTAAAATAAAGAAATTGAATTCTGATTCTATCCAAGTGATACAGTTTCACAAAACATTCAGTTGATTAATAATGAAACTGAAAATATAAATGTAAAATTGCCTAAATTACATATTAGTAAATATTATGGTAATTATTCTGGTTGGTTAGATTTTTACAATTTATTTGAAAGTTCTGTTCATAACAATCCTAAATTAAGCAAATTTGATAAATTTAATTATTTGAAATTCTATCTCGGTGGTACCGCGGCATTATGTATTAGTGGATTTGCCTTAAGTGATGAAAATTATGATAAAGCACTTGATTTATTGAAAGAAAGGTTCGGAAATAAAAACATTTTGATTAACACTCATTTGAACGTTTTGCTGAATTTAACTCCGGTTAAAAATCCTAACGATGTTATAAGTTTACGAAATTTATATGATAATGCTGAAACGCAGATCAGAAGCTTAAATTCTTTAGGAATTACAAGTGAATCATATGAAAATCTATTGACACCAATTTTAATGAAATTAATTCCTTCAGAATTCGTTTTAGAATTTAATCACATTCAAGGCGACAAAGAATTTGACTTAAAAACTCTTTTGCAATTCATTAATAAAGAAATTAGAAGCCGCGAGAGATCCTTTCCAATAACTAATTATAAATCATCGAATCAATGAGTGCACTTATGTTCCTCGCAAGAGAAAATAAAAAATAAAAATTCTACTTCCGTTAGACATAACTCTTCAAGACTTCCGCATAAGAGGTAGAATTCTTTCCCCTCCACACACTCATGAATTCCTGGCGTCAGTGGAAAATGTGATGTGTTTATTTTGTAGCAAAGGTCATAAATCAGAATCATGCTCTACATTTAATGCAAATGAACGGAGAGATATATTGAAGAAACGAGGTCAATGTTTTCGTTGTTTGACCCCAAACCATCGAGTGAAAGAATGTTTGAAAAAAGGATTTGTGTCCCACCTGCAGGAAACCTCACCATATTTCAATTTGTTTTCGAAATCAAAATAATCCACACATTCTTTCTCCAAAAGGAAAAACCGATAGTGTCGTATCGGCGAATATCATGTCGGAAAAAAAGAATAGTATGTTACAAACATGTTCAACCTTAATTGATAATGGAAAAGAGTAGGAAATTGTTAGAATTTTCCTGGACAATGGATCACACTGCTCTTTTGTTTTATCAGCTATTTCCAAAAGATTTAACTTTCCAATTGTTAGAAAAGAAAGCCTTTCCATTTGCACATTTGGTGCTAAGGAAACGGAAACAAAATCATTTAATGTAGTTAAACTTAAATTAAAGAATAGAGATGATCCAAATTTATGCACAGAAATTGAAGCACTGGAGACAGACCATATTTCGGGTACACATTTACCGACTCCGGAAAAAATATTGAGAAACAATTTAGATGTTTAAAAAATGTACAACTAGCGGACTGTTATGAATTTAACAATAAAGAAAGAACATAAAATATCAATACTAATAGGTGCAGATTACTACTATTTTATGATATTGTCACTGGTCGAATTACACGCCTAAGCAAAACCCTCGTTGCAGTTGAAACAATATTTGGATGGTGTTTGCAAGGCCGAAACACGAAACTTAAATGAAACGTTTGCAAGTGAGTGTTGTGGTAAACGAATCTAATATTTCCGATCAACTCAAGGAATTTTGGGGTTTAGAGAATTTGGGTATCGAGGCAGAAGTAGCTGAAATAGAACCCACTGAGAAAGAAATAATGAGTGAATTTGAATCCGGAATTACATATCAAAATAAGCGATACAAAGTGAAACTGTCCTGGAAACCAAATATGAAGACATTATTAGAAAATAACCAGCAGATAGCAATGAAAAGATTTTTGAGATTGAAATCATCTTTTAAAAATTATTTTGTGAATATAACACTGTTCTAAAGAATTATCTTTCAGAAAATATTATTGAACCTGTCCCAGTTGATGAAGTAAATTTACGGCAAAATACATTTTATCTACCTCATCGAGCTGTAATACGTACGGATAAGACTACAAGCAAATTACGCATTGTGTTTGATGCTTTGGCGCATGCAAAAGGTCAATTATCTTTGAACGATTGCTTATACACAGGACTTAATTTTATGCCTAACCTATTTCTTCTTTTGATCAGATTTAGAACGAATCCGATAGCATTTGTTGCAGATATTCAGATGGCTTTTCTCCAGATTGAAATAGATGAAAATGAACGAAACTAAACCAGATTCTTCTGGGAAGACGATACAGGAACTGATGATGAAAACAAGAAATTGGAAATTTTTCGGATGACAAGGGTGTGTTATTTGAGGTGAGATCTAGCCCGTTCCTCCTTGCAGCCACAATCAAAAATCACTTGAAAGGGTACGTAGATATATTTCCTCTGAATTCTAAGCATCTTAATGAGTCATAGTACGTCGACGATTTTATTTGTGGGCAAATCACTGTTCAACAGGCTTTAAAGACTTGTAAAGAGAGTGTAGACATTCTAAAGGAGGCAAGCATGGACCTTCGAAAGTGGAGAACCAATTCTCCTGAGCTAAGTAAAGAATTAAAGAATTTAAACTTCTTTAATTCCTTACTTACTGGATTATTTTGAATGTAGATCAGGGTGAAGAGTCTTTAGATACAAACTAATAGCTTCAAAAGTATTGGGAATTGGTTGGGATGAACAAATTGACACGTTTTATTTCGATACCAGAAATCTGGAAACATTTCTTTTAAAAAGAACTAACACAAAAAGGCATTTACTACAAGCAGTAGGTCGACTTTTCGATCCAGTAGGTTTTATAGAACCGTATACTATTAGAGTTAAGTACTTGATACAAGAAATTTGGTGTTTAGGATTAGACTGGGATGAAAAATTGCCCAAACAGTTAGAAGTTGCTTGGAATAAATGGTGCGATGAGATCCAAGAAGTAAAGGAAATAATTATTCCCCGATATTATTTTCAAAATTCTTTGCCCAGTCATGAAATCACTATTCAATTATACTGTTTTTCAGATGCATCTAAGAAAGCTTATGATACTGTTGCGTACTTACGCATAGAATTAAAGAGTGGAAATAGGTTTGTAGCATCAAAGAGCAGGGTAGCTCCGTTAAAAACCCTTTCGATTCCTAGATTGGAACTCATGGGTGCACTTTTGTCTTCAAGATTGAGCAATAAAATTGCAACTGCACTAAGTATTCCAGTTACTCGATATTTTTGGACGGATTCCTCAATAACTTATTACTGGATCAAAGGTGATCCAAATAGACATAAGGTGTTCGTGAAGAATAGAATAAAAGAAATACAAAAATACAGCAATCCAGAAGAATGGCATCATTGTATAGGAAAGAATAATCCCGCCGATTTGAT